GTTCTCTGTCCTGCTAGTCTACTTTCTGGAAAACTAGTCATTGGATTCCGCTATCATTGTACTATGGCTCTAGCTGGGTCAGTGCCTGCCTCAGTTGCAAGGTCTCCGCATCAGGCACATTGTGCCCTCTCTCGTCCTTCTCAGTACTCACTTGAGTCTGGCTCACTTTCTTTCTTGTTCCAGGCTCCTAGACGATTGCCTGATCACTGGCTTCCTAATTCTATGCCATTTTTCTAAAGTTTTCATTTCTACCTTTATCTTTGCTCCCTTGAGTATTCTAGCTATCCCATTCTCTCTCCTCAAGCAAAAAAGAATAGGACTGTTGTGAGAGTACGGAAGTGTTTATGTGTTTAACAGGGTATATAGTGACAGAAAATCTGTCAGCTTTTCTATATTTGTTTTTGTATAATTCAAGTCTAGAATTTTGTTCATTCTTTTCTAATCCCAGTCAATAAATACTTGTAATTGTGTAACCTGTGGGGGTGAGAAAAGCCTGCCATCAACACTACTTAAGTTCTTCTTTGAGAAGATGTAGGCACTCTCTGAGGAATATACATAAAGTATAATGATACAAATCTTAGGCAAAACCTCAGAAACTAATTTAGTACATCAGTATTTCAAAGTAGTTCCTACATACTAGAAATACCCAGTAAGATCCAAATTCTGTATGTGTTATGTTATTTCTACAAATTGAATATTTTATTATGTGCCTACAAATATCTGTATATAAATGAAAGCTGCTATAGAATGAGAAAGGTAACCTCATTCATCTGTATGCTTCAGATAAAAATGTTATCCAGCCCATTCTCAAAGAGACTTCCAGAGATAAATATCAAGCCCTTTCTGTCTTCTCTTTATTAGATGATTACCCTCCCCTACCTCATCTTGTCAAACAGAAAGCATGTAAATAAAAAAATAAATATAAAAAAGATGATTACCTTTTCTTTCATGAAGTTGTCCTTTATATCTATCTTTAGTTGTTTTTCTTTAATTTTGACTATTACAAGTGATGTTTTAGGGTGGATTAGAAACAAATTCATCAAAAAGAGGTACTCAACAAGCTTCTCACAGGCATAGAAAGGAGCTAAAAATAAGGAAAGGGAAAAGGCTAGAAACCATCCTCTGGTGTAGGATTTGAATGAGAAATATCAATATTAATTCATGGTTTTTAACACATTTACTGATGGATAGCTAGAGCTCTGTCTGCTAAAAGGGCCTAGAAGTAGTGTCTCCCCAGGAGCAATGAGCATATCAGCCACACCCAGATTTTGCTTTCTAGATATCATTCTTCAACAAAAGAAACCAAGGCTTCTTGGTGAAATGGATGATGCCAGAGATGGAATGGAAAAAATAGAAGATAAACCTGAAAAATCTGTGGTTAGAAAGTAAAGAGATAAAAAATGATGGGGATATATTGAAAGAATGCAAGAACCAACTGAAAGCGGCTCTCAATGGCCAAAGTCGATTCAGTTTATACAACAATGTAAAATAATGATAATATTGGATTATAATAAAATGAATATTCATGACTCTGTAAGATATAAATAAATAATTGGACTAGTAAATGGGGTAGAAAGGACAGCTCTAGTATATGTGCTGCCAAAGTGAACACTAAACAGGACAGCTCTAAATAAGGGAAACAGGAAACTGCCATATCACATACCACAGGAAATCACTGCAGGCGAGAACCATTGGTGGATGCCAACATTAGTGGGTGAAAGTTTGATGAAAAAGAGGATATTTGCATAATCTCCAAGAATCTCCCCACAAGATATTTACTATTTACAAGGGGGAAAATGATAACTTTACAGTGGCAAAATCTGGCGGACACTACTTTAGCCACTACTTTTATACATTATAAGTAATAAAACATAGTATCACATACCCAATAGATGCACTAAGGGTGTCACTTCCATAGTTTTTCTACCAAAAATACATAACCACATTCTAATCATAAGAAAGCATCTGGTAAATGCAAATTGACAGACACTCTGCAGAATAATTGTTCTGGACTATTCAAAAGTATCGAGGACAAAAGACAAAGTTAGAGGATCTGTTACAGATTTTAAAAGACTTAAGAAAACTTGACTAAATTCAATAGGGATCCTAGGTTCAATCCTGGACCAGAAGAAGGAAATTAGTGGGAAAAAATAGCAAAATTTAAATAAGATATGTAGATTACTTAATTGTATTATATCTATATGTGTTTCCTGATTTCAGTATTTGTACTGTAGTTACATAGCTTGCTGAAGGGTATATGGAAACTTTACACAGTATGCTTTTGTAACTTCTCTGTAGGTCTAAAATTACTTAAAAAGAGAAATTTTTTTGTTTTATTTTTTAAAGGAAGGAGACTTGGAGTAGATGGCTTCTAGGTCTCTTCCATCCAGCCTTATTATGTTACAGTGATATAAAATAAAGAATATCAACGTTTTAAGCACTTTTATATTCTGTATGTCAATTAAGAAACATGTTGAAGAACTGAAAAGTAGGAGCAGATTCTAAACTGTCAATTCAGTCCAGAAGAACATATCCTGAATTGCTACTATTGTGCCTGATATTACACTGAATAAGAAGGTCCTTGCCTCCAGCTTGGTTATTCTACTGAAGCTTGAAAATGATGTGGTCTTCCCTTTCGATTGATTTTTTTACTGAGTTGTCTCTTTGTTGATGTTTTAAAATACTGGAGTTGTAGAGAATGACATAGAAATTGATGTCTTGAAATTTTATCCACGGAAATAAAAGCCTTCAAAGAGGGTTTGAGATTTTGCAATCTGGATGCCTGAAGAGATAATGATAACCATTGAATAAGAAGGCCTTTGGTATTAAAAGCGTATTGGTATTTGTGTATCAGGAACCAATGGAACAATCACAGTAAAATTACCACCTCATAAATAGGTATTTCAGCAAAGGATAGTACGAAGAAACATGTATTTGAAAATAAAGGATGATATAAGGCCAAGCATGATGGCTCATCCCTGTAATCCCAACACTTTGAGAGGTTGAGGTGGGAGGATTGCTTGAGCCCAGGAGTGAAAGACCAGCTTGGACAACAAAGCGAGACCCCATTCTGCAAAAAATTTAAAAATTAGCCAGCCGTGATGGCACATACCTGTAGTCCCAGCTAGTGAGGCTGAGGAGGGAGGATGCCTTGAACTCAGTGTTTTGAGGATCTGTTCAGCCTAGGTGACAAAGCAAGACCCTGTTTCTCTTTTTAAAAAAGAAGCAGAAAAATTGACATATAATTCTGACATTCCCTTAATGCTCATTTTCTAGATGATTGTACTGAATTAAGGCTATACTTTTATAATCCCATTGTGACAGATTTCTTTTTTTTTTTTTTGAGTTGGAGTCTCACTCAGACACCCAGACTGGAGTGCAGTGGTGCATTCCTGGCCACCGCAGCCTCGACCTGCTGGGCTCCGGCGATCCTTCCGCCTCAGCCTTCCGAGTAGCTGGAACTACAGGCGTGCACTACCATGCCCAGCTAATTTTTTGATTTATTGTAGAGATGAGGTCTCGCCAGTTGCCCAGGCGGGTCTCAAACCCGCGGACTCAGGCAATCCACTCACCTCAGCCTCCCAAGGCACGGGATTACAGGCTGAGCCACCGAGCCTGACTGTGACAGATTTCTGGATGATAAATTAATGTGTTTCATTTCGCATATATTTACTGTTGAGAGGTTTTAAATATTTTAGGAAATATAATGCAGTTAAGCCAAGAAGTTATGACTTAAGTTAATAATGATGGTTTGTGATTTTAGGATACTTTTGGGCTCATTTCTATTTTTATGTATTCAGGGTCTGTTTTTTTTTTAGTCTAAGTAAAATGTAGCTTTGAAGCATGATAATTGTGTAAATAAAATGGTAGTTTTGGTTTCACCATTTGATGAAAAAATTTAAGACATTCCATTTAAGACATATCATTTCCACCATGATAATTTTTTAAACAAAAGTCTTCGGTCTGATGCTTTTGTGGATGTGATACCTTTTGTGGAGAATTAAAGGTTGTATATCTTATTTCTTCAGTAGGAGCATACAACACATATGAAATTTTTAAGTCTCTACAGAACTGAAAAGTCACTGTGGGTACTGTACTTTGAAACATGTGTATACTGTAGGCCTAAGGTGTTTTTTAATCTTTCATCTTTTTAAGGGATCAAATATCATTAGAAAAATAAGCCATGAGCATTACAAATGTGGTCTGGTGAAATTCAATATTCACAATGACAATTTAGAATATGAGCTCCTTGGGAGGAAAGTTAACTCACCACTCTAACTTTGCATCTAAATATCTTAAAGTGTGCCATTGGTTTTATGAAAAGGTTTTGATCTACACTCCTAGTTTAAGTTCAAAAGAAAACCTACATTTTAAAGTATATTCCTTTTCTGGATATATTTACTTTGAACTATAGCATATAGTTTTTCTCATAAATCTAACCTGCCACTATCTGTTTTTAAGACTTTGTAAACTCCAAGTGGTTATGATGTGTGAAGTTTGGATTAAACTAAAATTTTTAGAAAACACATGTTATATATTTTGATTGTTTTGAATTTTTAACATGGGCCAGTAAAAAACTTGAGTGTCTAGCAAAGTAATACACTGTACTCTGTTACTGTAGGAAATCACAGAAAATTGCCCTTTCCCATCATGTTAACGATAGACAAATGAAGCAGCTGTTCTTATTCTTAATGTAGTTGTTTGAAAAACTTGCCCAATTTAATGAAAACGTCTCTACTCATAAAACTTAAAATGCTCACACATGGAAAAAGTCATAATGTTTTGGCAAATATTGTTTTGTTAGGAATGTGAATGAGGTATACCTGCTTCATAACTAGAATTCTACTAAATGGCATGAAACTGATGGAAAGCCAACTATAAAAGAAGACTCTGACAAAGGATGAATTAATACTCTTAAAAATTACAAATCGTTCTTTCCCAAAGTTTTCTTTAAAAGGAAGAATTATAATGTATACCTCTCTCCATTTCTTTTTTTTCAGGCGTAATTCTTGGGTCATCATTTCTACTCAGCATAAATGATTTTCTCCTTAAAACAAGTCTCAAAGACAGAAGTCGGATTCTGATAGGACCATGTTGTGCTACTGCCAATCTGGAAGCTAAATGGTGTAAGCACAGTGGCAATCCAGGCTCAGAACAATCCATACCAAAAATATCCATTGATTTAAGAGGAGGTCTGCTACAGGTCTGTAGGGATTGGCCATACTTTTTCCATAAAATTTTAACTAGCCTCTGTTCATTTTTTTTAACTGTTTCACTAACTTTTAAATCTTTGTGTGGTAAGAAAAGGTACTTGTCAGATTGCCATCTCATTAAATTTTAACAGTTTTACTCAGATATAATTCATATGCCAGACAATTCACCTATTTAAAGTACATAATTCAGTGTTTTTTAGTATATTCACAGAGTTGTGCAATCATAACCACAGTAAATTTTGAAACAGTTTCATAACCACCCCCCCAGAATCATGTTCCCATTAGCAGTCACTCCCCATTACCAGGCTTCTTCAGTTTTAGGAAACCACTAACCTACTTTCTGTCTCTACATATTTGTCTATTCCGGATATTTCAGATAAATGGAATCATGTAGTATGTGGTCTTTTGTGACTAACTTCTTTCACGTAAGCATAATGTTTTCAAGATTCATCCATGGTTTAGCAGGTGTCAACATTTTATTCCTTTTTGTGACCAAATAATATTCTATTATGTGGATGTACCACTTTTTATTTATCCATTCCTCAGCTGATGGACATTCTTTCCACTGAGCTATTATGAATAATGCTGCCGTGAACATTTTGTACAAATATTTGTGTAGACATATGTTTTCATTTATCCTGGATATAGAACTAAGAGGGAAATTGCTCGGTCAATTTTTTTTTAATGTGTAAACTTTTCGAATTGCAAAGTAGTCAACCTATCTTAAGCACAGTGTCACTAGCAGTATGTAAGAACCATTTCTTGGGTTTCTTGCATATTATGATGTCTGATTATTAACACTTGATACATTAGTCACATTGCAGTCTCTTATGCATTTGACTTATAGCCAAGTATGGAGTGTTTGAGGGTAACCTATTTATTTCTTGATAATTTTTATTTGAATATATTTTAATCTAATCTTTACGTGATTTGATGCCCTGAAACGATGCAAATCCAAAAGGCTTAAGAGATTCACAATGATAGAAAATTGAAACTAATATATCAATAGTGGTGATATATTAAACATGAATTTCTTGTTTGTATCTAAAAATTTTATTGCATCAACTTTTCACTAGTTTTTTTTAACAACACATAGCAAGATTTGGAAAGAACCTAATAACTTACTGTTTTGTGTTGACTTGAAGATTTTCAGCATCTATTAGAAATCTTCACATCTTTGACAATAAGCATGGGGTTTTATGTTGCTTTATCAAGAATATTAGTTGTATTACCTTTATTCCAAGGCAGCAAAATAACTTCACATTAAAAGCAACAATAATATGTTTACATTACTAAGTGCTTCAAATAAAAGTAGAATTTTTTTAAAACAACTAAAGACAATAAGAGCAAAATTGAAGTACAGTATATCACTTTTACATTATAGTCACAGTCTGTCTCTTGCCAATTTAAAGCACAGTGTTCTACTCCCCATCTTGATTTTTCACCTTTCTCTGTCTTCCAGTATTTAATAAAAGTAAGATTGATGAGGACATAACTAGACTTAGTTTTATATATCCTACTTTTATTTCTCAGATGCCTTAATTCCAGAGAGCAGAGCCTAAGCCTAGGGTTTTAAACTCCCCCACAAGGTACAGGATTATTCTTTTCTACCGCTTTATATTCTTTTGTATTTTCTATGTTTTCTGATTTTCTTAGAATTAATAGTTGTACTAGCTTTATCTAGTATATACAGATAAATGAAACCTTATTGAAATTTTTAATCCTCCGACATGAATCATTGTAACCCACTGTTCATACTTCTGTTATAGACTAATATTATTCATATACAGAAAAGAAAATTTAATCTTCTCCATTAGAGGAAACACCAAGTCCTTTTATTATGAAACTCTGCTGTAGCTCCTGTAGTATAGTTAACTCTCAGAGGCTGTGAATCCTGTATGTTGGCACATTCTTGCTAACACAGAAGTCAGGTGCCTTCTAAATTCAGGTTCATTGAGTAGGTTCTTTGTCTTTTTCTCTAAAAAGTGCAAAAAAAAAAAAAGGAACACTGTAATAAGGACTGTTTATTTAATCTTGTGACAAAATGTGGAAAGCTATTCCACAAAGTTATTACTATTTTATTAACATTTTGGCCTAGAGGATCTTCATTGCTTTCTCTCAGACTATAATAGGTATTCTTTCCCCTTTTTAGCTAAATTAATTCATAGACATTACTTCACCTCAACATACAAGAGGGGGATCAAAAAAAACCCAGAATTTATTAATAAAAAATTGGGTATTTATTCTTGCATGTTTAAACTTCAATCACCTTTAGAGTCCTCTCCATATGATGCAGTATACCTGTCAAAATGCTTTTTCCACTGCTCAAAACAGTTTTTGAGCTTGTTACTTTTAATGTCTTTTAGTGCTTCTGCCATTTTTTTTTTTTTCTCATCTCTTCCATATCAGCAAAACATTTCCCTTTGAGGACTTTTTTTATCTGGGGAAACCAAAAAAAAGTGGGCAGGTGCATTCATAAATCACCCATCGTGAAATGGGCAAATGCTTTGAAAATAATCTCCAAAAAAAAATTAACTGAAACCAAGTGCAGCCTTCTCACAGCAATGCTAGCTGGTACACTGATACCAATGGATTCCTAGAACACTTACGTAGCGGGGAAGCTTATAATACAAGGGTCCCACCTCCAAGAGATAATTCTGGGTTTTGGGGGGTGCCCCCCCATAATTTCATCAATCCAACATTTAAAATTTATTGTCACTCACACAATATATGATGTAATTGATTTTCTTGTCATATATTTACTCAAGCAATAGAATTTCATCCTGTAGGTCAACTGCGTCTTGGAAATTATAGTTTTATTATCAGTAATTATACTGAGTATAATTGCAGTCTTCTATTAATTCAAATATAATTTTACCTAATTATTCTTTAAAATGTTTATATTTAAAAGCCACTAGAATTTTTCATATGATTTCAAAGGTCTTCTGGGGTCAAGAACATTTGAATTGTTTAGTTCTTCTGCATGAATTACTCAATGGCTACCTTAATGAGGAGAGAAATTTTGAAGTACAAGTTTCTGAACCAGTGCCACAAATACCATCACCTATGGAAAAGAACCAGACATTTAAAAGTGAACAAAGTTCAGATGACTTACGGACAGGTCTATTTCAGTATATACAAGATGCTGGTAAGTAACAACAGCTTCAGTATAAGAGAGTGTGTGCGTGTCTGGGTGTGTTTTAAATGCATGATTACCTAAATAATAACACATCAATATCACTTGAAAAGTGCATTAATACTTGCAGTACTAAGATAGCACATCAACATTTGATCTCTCTTAGGGGAGATTCTTTCTTTCTGTCTCAAGCTATATAAAAATGATCAGCTAGCTTCTTTATATCCTTTTATTTTTTCTCATAACTTTTTTCTTGCTTTTTTAAACTGACATGTTCCCTTGTAAAGGCATACAATTAATTATACTTTTATCTGACAGAATCTTTGAAACTGCCTGGTATCTATGAAGTTTTATTTTGTAATGAAACTGAAGATAGCCCAGGGATGATGTTATGGAGATATCCAGAACCTAGAGTGCTCACCCTTGTGCGAATAACTCCTGTGCCTTTCAACACCACGGAGGATCCAGATATTAGCACAGCAGACCTGGGTGATATGCTACAGGTATGTAATGACTATTCATTTTAAAATAAAAACACATTGTGGGAAAGAACTGATCCTGTATTGGGAAAAATGTTTGGACTATACTTGTTTCTTATGTTAACAGTATCAGAGAAATGCACACACACGTGTGTGTGTACATACACCTGTATAATAGAAATTTTTTAATGTGAAAGTAATGTAATTCCAATTCATGATACATAGCAATTTCAAGAGTTCTCAGTTCTACTCTTCATCCTGTTGTGGGTAGGTACATGGTCTCTGATATAATGGGAAAGCAGGTGTCATTCAGTTCCCCATACCTTTATGCCTACTGTGTGTTCACACTCTTCAGAATTTCTAGAACTGCTCTGTAAAATAAAACATGCCCATCTAAGACCAGAATCGGGCAACTGTAGTTTTCATTTCCAGAACTGAAATTGGTCTTGGGGCTTGAGGTAGGCTTATTTTCTTGTCAAAGAAATCATCTAACCAATGATTATATTCTCTATGGTTTTGTGAAAGTTTGTTGCTTAATAGTTCTCTGAGTTTAATGTAAATGTCATTGTGTGAATATCACTATGATGCTGTTGACTTATTAATATTCTACTGATCTGAAATTTTCCTAAGATTTGCTTCTTCCTTAGTCTTCTACCAATTACTAGATCACACAACCATCCACTCAGAACCTAGGCGTCATTCCTGATTGCTCTATTTCCCTAACTCCCTACATCTAACTCATCAACAAGTCCTGTCAGTTCTGCCTCTAAGTTTGTCCCTATTCCATCTACTTCTCTTTGTTTCTACGGGTCCAACTTGTGTTCAAGCTACCATCATCTATACTACAGTAGCCTCCTAATTTGTCTCTATGCTGCCATTCTTGACCACTTGAAATCCATTCTCCAAATAGCAGCTAAAGTAATACTTTTTAAATGTAGGTCATTTTATATCACTTCCCTAACTTAAAACCCTGTGGTTGCTTCCTCTAATACTTAGAACAAAATTCAGATCCCTTGCTGTGGCTTATAAGGACCTATGATCTGGGCTCTGCCTTCCTATCTGCCTAGAACTCATGCTATCCTCTCTTTTTCTCATGAGGCTTCAGCCGTGCTGGCCTCCTTTTTCCCCTTGAGCATACCTTCTCAGTCATTTCTCTCGCTCTTCCTTCACTTTTGGAGATCACCATCCTGGGGATCCAGAAACATGTAGGATACTGTCCACTTGTTAAAAGCCCAACCTAGTGGGGAAGTTTCTGTGGTTGTATGTCTATCTAATTTTGTCTTTCAAGAAGTGTCTGTTGTCAGAATCATTCTCCTATATGATTATCTCTAGTTCTATTCTAGAAATTAAAATACTTAGCAGCAGATTCAGAATTGCAGGGAGTTTGTGAAAAGAAGTCTTTTTATCAACCTTGTTATAGTACAGATAACATGGGCTTTGAAGTCTCAATTCCTGCCCCTCTCCGGCTCCCCTTTAAGCTAATTCAGTGACCTTGGGCAAAGTACTGATCTCTTTGACCTTTAGTTTCCTCAACTGAATGTTGGAGTTAATATTATTAAGCTTTCAGTATTGTTGGCGTATTATCTCTAATGGGATGTTATATCTATACACTTAAATAAATGCCTTACATGTAGTGATCTCTTAATAAATATTTATTTCCTTCCCTTCATTTCTCCTTCACACACAAATGCCTGGACCTCTAACTGAGACTCCTAAATGGAACTCCAGCCTTAAATCTCTCTTCCTTATAACCTCTCTTACTAAATTCTTAAAGGAACAGGTGGATTGTATAGTTCTCTGAAGGAAAGCTTCATTGACTCTGTCACCCTGCTAGACTGTTCTTGAGGGCTCTACAACCTGTCGCTCATTCCCCAATTTTGCCATGCAGTCCCTTAGACATGATCTATGCTCTAGTCAAACTGGCCTATTTGGCTTTCTTCAAACCAGCCTGCAACATCCTACTTCCTCTTTGTTCGAATCCCTCGCATCTCTGTCAGTTGAAATCCTCCCCACACTTCCAGAACAGCTAAAATGCCATATATTCCATCAAGCCTTTCCTGAGTGCCGTATTCAAACATGATTTTGCCCTTCTCTGAAATCCTGAAGCACCTCATGGTACCACTTTTATGCCATTTTTTACCTTATTCCTCACATTGGAACTCAAGTGTTCATATCTTGTATCCCTCCTGTTGTATGTCTCTAAAGGACGGGATGATATCTAATTTGTCACTATGTTCCTTACAGTATCCATTGCAGTAGAGATAGACACTCAACAGTAGATGAATGAATGCATAAATGTTCATGTTTCTATTTCCTATTATTCAAAAGTATTACATTATTTATCACTATTTTATGGGCCTAATGAATGTGTTTTGGTTTTCCACACTGAACTACATCAGGATGCGTTGTGTTATTCTTCAGTGGTATCATCTGCCATAAACACACAATCTAATGTCATTATGTTATTTAGCCTTTTGGTGAGATCATTGAATATTCTGCCAAGCCCATTTGCTTCCTTAAACAGAGACTAGTTCTTTAATACAAAGATAAATAAATCTCCTTGACTTTAGTCCTAAAAACAGAATTGAGCTTGGATTACTTTTTCCTTCTAGAGTTGAGCTGTAATGCAGAACACTCAGATTTGTCTGTTTATATTCCATCATTCCATGATTGTTAATGAGATTTATAAACAAATTCTCTATATGGAATTTATTTTGTAATTATAATGAAAAATGCAGAAAGCATGTCTATAATATTAAATCAAACTAACTATAGGTTCTGAACAAAAACCCTGAAGCTAATGTTCATAGAAAGCAAAAGGAGCTTATTTTGTGATCACTTTATAATTATATCATGCTAAATTTTAAGTGTTTGTAGTAGTATATTAGATGTCAATAAAATTAGCATCTGTAAGGTAATGTCATCAATATAGAAGGAGTGTTGTGAATTTTAAATGAGTCTAAATGTAAGAAATTTCTGGCACTGTTTCTGACACATACACTGTTTTCCTCTCTCTTAATCCTACTGTGTACACTGCCTATTGAGGATTCCATTTTGGAAACACCCATGTTTCTTGATTATAAATATTTAATCCATTTTTATAGTAAAATTGGTAATGGGTATTTCAGTTCTTACACGATCTGTCAAAGTACTTGTTCTTGGTCCCCTTTGGGAAAAGACTATGTTTAGTTGGCCCATTGTCACATACCAAATGAAGATATCTAAAAGTTTAGTGCAACATATAAATGAAAATGAATATGAAAAGAGGAAAACAATATTGAGGAAATAAGAACAAACTCTGGAGCTTAAAAATGCCTTTTTAATTGAGAAAATGTTATGAAATTGTACAGCTTTAGTAACAAATTTATTTTTTCCAATCTATTAATTTTACCCTTCAGATGTCAGAATTCCCCCAAATATGTGATTTCTCCTATACCAAAACTTCAGAATTTGGTTCAGAATTCTTATCTGTAAAAATCATGGCTGGAGTCCTTAAAAGACATCTTCTCAAGGGTAACAGGAAGAGAAAAGACAAAAGCAAGCTTGTGTCATTTGTTTCTTTATGGTGGGGAAGAACTAAGCCAACAAAATCAGTGCACTTGTGCCCAATTCACTTTTGTTTATCCAGTTCAAGTCAGAGAAATTAGTTTTAAAGTAACATTAATATGACTATAAAAGTCACAGTGAAAACACATTGAAAGAATAATGAACAAAAAAAAGTACATACTTAGAAATCAAAGTGCTATGGTATGAATGTCCCCCAAAATGTATGTGTTGAAATTTAGTCATCAATGTGGTAATATTAAGAGGTGGGGCCATTAGGAAGTGATTACATCAGAAGAACAGAGCATTCATGGATGGAATCAGGGCCCTTCCAAAGAGGATTGAGGCAGTGAGTTTATTCTCCTTCATCCCATCCATTGTGTGAGGACACAGCATTTCTCCCCTCTGAAGGATGCAGCAACAAGGTGCCATCTTGGAAGAAGAGAGCAGCTCTCACCAAACACCAAAACTGCCTTGGGCTTTCAGTTCCAAAATTGTGAGGGATAAAAATTATATTATTTATTAATTACCTAGTCTGAAGTATTTTGTTATAGCAGCACAGATGTTCTAAGACACAAGGAGAACCTAATTGGTAGAGATCTGTGTTACTTTTGCTCTACTGTGCATTTATGATCATCTGTGTGTTTTATATCCAGCATTGTACTAGGTGCTTTACATACATAAATACTCATTAAATTTCCTTTTATTCTATGACATAAGCATGATTCCCACTTTACAAGTGGGGAAACTGAGACCATGAAAAGTTAATTAACCGGTCTTGAATCATGAAACTTACAAGTGGGGGAGTTGAAATTTAATCCCCAGTCTTTCTGACTCCAAAACCTATGTTATTTTTTCTATATGTAAAACACTTGGATAATAATCTTGTAGATGAGGCTAGTTGTGGTGGCTCACACCTGAATCCCAGCACTTTGGGAAGCTGAAGCGGGAGGATCACTGGAGTCCAGAAGTTTGAGACCAACCTAAACAACAAAACGAGACCCCATCTCTACAAAAAAAAAAAGAAAGAAAAATTAGCTGAGTAGGGTAGCATGCACCTGTAGTCCCAGCTACTTGGGAGACTGAAGAAGGAGGCTCACTTGAGACCAGGAATTCAAAGCTGCAGTGAGCCGTGCACTACAGTCTGGGTGACAAGAGTGAAACCCTGTCTCAAAAAAAAAATGTATTTATATATTTAGTAGATGATACATTAAGAAAATAGTGAGTCACCCCATTGAGAAATGTGGAAAGAAAACAATTATTCGTTTACTTTAAATTGCTGCATAATGAATTAGACCAAAAATACACCAAGTAATTTTAAATCAGTAAATGAACTCCTAAACACACAAGATGGATTGGGATATCTAGAGAAAGAATGTTTCCTTCAGAAGACAACTGGTCAGCTCTGAAACCTAGGAGGGTCACAGAAGTATTTGTTGGCAGAGGCCTTCCTGGCAGCATCCAAGTAAATGGTGCCCAAA